TGCTCCTCTACCAGTAATGCCCCGTGCTATTCCTCATCTCTTCTCTTGTCCACTGTCTTCCCACGGAACGCACGGACGCTCCCTACTGTTCTGCTCAGACACCGGTTTTACTAAATAGGACACAGGATGGTGTCTTCCATTGTTTCTCTCTTCGATTCCAGTTTCCTCTACTAATTGTCTGGGACCTTTCTTAGTAGCGAAGTTTACCCACCGGAGGCCTGTGGAGGAAGAAGCAGCGTGGATGGCAGTAAATCCAGGGGAGAGACATGGTGTTTTCACGAAGGAGGAGAAGGCCTTCAGAATAGGACTGTTCCCAGGGTTCTGGCAGATTCCACCCCTGGGGAGAGGGAGGGGCGGTGGCCCCAGCAGCATTCACACTGGGGAGCGGGGAACACTGCCCGCTGGCCACAGCCAGAGGAGCAGGAAGCTGATGGACCAGGCCTCTGAGCAGACATTCCCAGGGAAAGGAAAATTAAACATGAATGTCAATGCCATCTCCTCGTAAGTATTTATTTAGTGCTGAGCACCACACGGGGCCCCAGTACGACTCACAGGGAGAGGAAGTGAAAAGGGGAATAAATGTACCCCATGTTTCTGCGAAGGTACCGGTGAGATTCAAATAAAACTGCCTTTAGCCCTTTCTCCTGCACGGTGCCAGCCCCGTCGTTCCAGGGCGTCTGGTGGCGGGCCCAGCCTCAAGCTTTCCCTTGCTCCCCGATTCCGGTGAACAGCCGCTGCTGTTCTCTACCACGTGGCCCTAAAATGTGAAACAACCACCGTCGTTTTCCCCAGAAAATATTCCTCGCACGGGATATTCGTGTACGTGTCAGGAGGCAATGGAGGAGATTTATACCGTCGTGCCGCTTGGCCCTTGCTCTTCCTTCAAAGACTCATTTTTCTGACCCCCTTCCACGGGGCTCCCCTTTTATGATTTGATTTTCCTTATTTTGTTATATCCAAGGATGTGTCAATGGGTCCTGCTAAATCGTGGATCATCTGTCCAGTCTCCATCCTGAGAGGCTTGCAATGGCCACCACCCGCTTCCAGTTCCGTGCGGGAGAGGAGGCAGTGTGAAGAATTCTTTCTTTGCTACGGGAATTAATTACATTATGTCCTTTCAAAGGCAGCAGACTATAGTCAGTTGGGATTTTAAATAACAGTATTTCCTTTCTCAGTTTACACAATGATCTCAAAGCAATCTATAAGATCTCTGAATTCTTTTAGTTCCTCGGGGATGGATAGTGTCACCACATTGAAAATAGTAACAATAATATTATTATAAGTATATTATAATACAATAATAACAATCAACATAGCATATTATACATGTTATATATAATATAACAATAGTATAGTTATAATACTTTATTTAATGTTACATACTTATAATTATTTTTATTACTGGCAGTAGGTACATGTCTCTTCAAGGACAATCGAAGGCTTTTGAGCGGGGAAATTATGTGACCAGACCCTGGCTTTAGGCAGGGCGGAAAGGGTAGTAGCAGAAGAGAGAGACTAACGGCAAGAGACCAGTTGTGCAGTTATTTTACAGTGGTTCAGGTCAGAGGTAATGAGCTGGGATTGTGGCAGTGGGAACTGGGAGGGAGAAACGGATAGAATGATTCAGCGTAGAGGTATTGACAACACACTGAGACAGTAAAGAAAACCAGCGTAGGTTTTAAGCGGAGACCTGGTAACGAACTGAGTCTGCGGTGCCATCTGACTGGGCGTGTGTGTGCCCAGAGGCCAGGGGGCCCCACAGGGAGAAGCCAGAGCTGCACCGGCTCCCTGGGCTGTGCCCCAGCGTTAGGAAGGGACAGCGTGCTCACTCTCTGAGCGTTAGAAGCTGCTGCGAAACTGCAAATACTCCTCACGTAGAGAAGGAGGGGGAAGGAAACTGAAGATCAAAAGGAAAGCCTCGTAGGAGGCAGGAAATCAGTGACAGAATGTACCGCATGGGCTGTAAGAATCAGCCCTTTCAGCCTCTTCCAGGCAGAAATGTAGTCAGAGGCCACATTGTCCTTTTCTAGTCTACACCGCCTTCCACCTTTTTTCTTGGACGAGGCGAAGGACATGTATCAAGCGGAGAAGCATTTGGACTTCTGATGCCTAGTCCCGCTCACGAAAGCTCCTTACGGGCAGTGATTGTATCTTTGCATGCCTTAGACGGGGTGGGTGCTTAAAAATATCAACAGAATTCCCTGAACTGTCTTTAATTCTCATTTTGTTGAGCTTTCGTTGCTTCATTTTGTTGAGCTTTCGTTGTAGAGGATCTGGACAAGGAGGCAAGCAGTCTGGTGCGACATTCAGATTCATTTACTGGCGAGT